CCTCTCACTGTTGTGGCCTCTCCCGTTGTGGAGCACAGGCTCCGGACGCGCAGGCCCAGCGGCCATGACTCACGGGCCCAGCCACTCCGCGGCACGTGGGATCTTCCCGGACCGGGGCACGAACCCGTGTCCCCTGCATCGGCAGGCGGACTCTCAACCACTGCGCCACCAGGGAAGCCCGAGAACCTGATTTCTAAAGGCCATTTTACCTCTGCTACATCATGAAGGCCTCATAAGGAGGAAGAGAGCATGGCAGGGGGTGGGGGGTGGCAGTCAGTCCGCTCGGCAGCTGAAGAGGCTGGGCTCCCGAGAGTGGACTGACCTGAGGGGAGTCTGGACCCACACTTCTCCCCCTGTGCTCTCAGGGTGACGGGACCGTCCTTCTCAGGATGGGAAGTGACCAGCCAGTGGTAACACAGCTGGAGGGGGAGATGCAGGTGGTCCCAGAGGAAGGTTTAACAGAGAAATCAGTGACTGGTCAGAAATCATCACGAGGTACAGAAAGTTGCACATGGGCCCCACTGCCCTCTCAGCCCTTCAACTCTTCTGGGCCTGGGATCCAGCCCCAGCTCCCAGCTTCAGAGAAAGGACCAAATCCCCGATGACAACTATGTCCTTCTGCTCCCAGGCTCCATGACCCCAGGGATGCCCAGAAAAGCCAAAATCATCTCTAAATGGGCACCACTCACTCAAAGCTTGCCTCCCTCGTCACCCTCTCCCCACTCCAGGAGCCAACAGCTTCTTCTTGGGTGAGGGGAAGACGTGGAGAGATAAGAGGAGGCTACCGGGACTGCAGCGGAAAAACAAACAAACAAGACTGGGTTTGGAGTCAGACCCGTTTTCAAGTCCAAACCCTTCAACCACTAGCAGTGTGGCCTTGGGCAAGTTACTTAACCTTTCTGAACCTCTGTGTCCTCGACTGCAAAACAAGACAACGGTACCGGCTTCAAAGTGTTTGTAAGGAGTGAAAGAGCAGACGAGGAAGCCGGGAGTGCCCAGCAGAGAGCTCGCCAACTAGAGAGGGAAGGGGAAGGGGGTGCAGACGAGCCGGTGGGAAAGCCCCCTTCACCGCTCCCACAGCACTGGGTACATGGGCAGACAGGAGAGTGAATTTTTAAAAGAAATCGAGTGTACGAAACGAAATCAAAGACACGCCCATTTATAAAACGCTTGGTAGGGGCCAGGCACCTGTACCAAGTGCTACTTGGGCCCCAACTCGCCATCCGCCTCCAGAGAAGTAACGGCCCTTCTCTCAGCCCCGCCCCCCTCAGCACCACTGCAGGGAACGGGGATACCAGCTCTCATTCTGAAGTTTTCACTTCACGAAACTTGCTCATAACCCTTTTAACTCATCTCACCCTCACAATTCCCACTTCACAGATGACGTAACTGAGGCTGCCCAGGGGACCAAGGTCATTGGAATCCAGCCCTGTCTGGATTCAAATCAGGCGGCTCTATTCCACTTCATCCCCAGGCTTCCTGGGACCCAGGAGGATGTCAGCAGTCACCCCTGCAGCATCAGCGCCCCCGTGTCTGCCACGTGCCTTCAGGCCGCAGCCCCAGCCGCCCTGTGACTCAGCCTCTGCATCCAGCTTGGGGTCAGCTGTTTGAAAACGGCTCCCTCAGCACGGAGAAGGGAAGGAGTGGACCCTCTCTCCACCTTCACATCTCTGACGCCCACCTCCCACCGGCCCCCGGCCTGGAGTGGGGAGCCCTACCTTGTGGGTGAGGCTGGGGTCTCTTGGAGCACTGTCCTCCTCCTCCGAGCTTCCCCGCTCTTCATCCGACGTGAGGTCCTCCTTGGGGGCCACTGCCGAGATGGGACAGACCTTATAGGGCTCTGTGTAGGCGCTGGGGTCAGAGCAGAGGAGAGAGAGGGTTAGAGCTCCCTGTCCAACAAAGGGAAAGCGAACAGGCCAGGGGCCCTACTAATGCCGTGAGCCGTTAATGAGTGCTCTGTGCTTCCATGAGGGCCCAGAAGTGAATAAGAACCTCCTTCCTGCCCTCACTCCAGCCAGTCTGTTCTCCTACTAGTTCCTTGAACATTCCAAGCTCTTGGCTGCCTCAGTACCTTTACACATGCTGTTCAAGACAGACTTGTCTCCCTTAGACACGAGGTAGGCTGTGATGCTGAAGGAAGGTACAAATAATTACTATGAGGGCAAGAGATGTTCATTCTGATCAGTCTGGCAATCCGGACTGGCCTGGTTGGGCAGCAGGGTCAGTCCTCAAGGTGGCCGTGTCCTCTGGGCCTGAAGAAGGGATGCAATGATGTGGCAGACAGAGTCGGGGATGTGCATTCTAGCCCCTCGCCCGAGCCCTGCTGCCAGCCAGATCATGGACAAGACACAGCTCAGGGCATCAGTTTCCACCTAGGCTACTCTGGAATGATGATTCCTATTCTCATTTTCTTGGCAGATGCCGTGAGGATCAATATGTAGAAAGCTTATTCAGGTGTGATAATCTCATATCTATATAACTATGACTGTTGTGTAGGCATTGTCATTAACTGATTAAATAATACATTAATTCAATAAGTATTCATTGATTGCCCGCTTTATGCCCGGCACAGAGCTAGGCAGTGGGTAGAACACCGGTGAATAAAGCAGATGTGGTGCCTGTCCTCGAAAAGGGAAAAGCTAACACATGGTTGCACACTGTAACACGGGAAGAAGGACGCGCTCTCACAGAGAATAGCAGGAGGGGGGCTACTGAGACAGGTCAGGGAAGGCACCTCTGAGGCTGAGACCAGAAGGAGGAGGAGGGGCCTTGCGATAGGAGGGGAAGCGTTCCAGGCAGGAAGGCACCGAGGCAGCAAAGAGCCTGGCATGTGACATAAGCCGACCTGGAGCACAGGAACCCTCCTTTCTCTGCCTTCTAAACCTTCCTCACAGAGGGTGCTCTGGCCCCGTCACAACGGCCTCCCTGCTCTGCTCCTTGCTCCCAGCCTCCCTCTCCACACAGCAGAGTGATTGTTCTGCAACAGAAATTGGGCCACGTCCCCTTCCTACTCAAGAACCTTCAATGGCTCCCTCCTGCCTTTGGCAATGTGGTCCCAGACAACTTCTCACAAAACTTCTCTTCATGCTAAAAATTCAGGCATCTTATCTTACTAAATTCTTATCAAATACTGATTCCTGCCCTCTGGGAATGATGGATGGATGGATGGATGGATGGAGAGACGGAGGAGGGGCGGCGAGGAGGGAGCCTCCATCCTCTGGAGTGGCCCTGCCAACTCTAGCCCAGGCCTTTGGTGGGCAGGTGCAGGGCCCTTGCCTCAGGTCTGGTCCAGGCAGGGGGAAGCATGGCCAGGATGGGTACATCAGGAGAGGAGAAACTGAGCCTTGGGTTGCAGTGCAAGTAGAGGCCCTTCTTGGAGCTCCTTTCTGACTATCATAGGAGGCAGACCATGGACACCTCTCTCCAGAACACCTGGAGCCCAGGAAACAAGGGTCTGCCTGGAGCAGGACGGGCGTCCCCTGGTCCACACACTGGCGAAGAGGCTAGATAGATCAGCAGCCTGTTCCTGCCTGGGCTCTTGCTGTGTGTGTGTGTGTGAGTGTGTGTGTGTATGTGTGTGTGTGTGTGTGTGAGTGTGAGTGTGTTAGTGTGTGAGTGCGTATGTGTGTGAGAGGGCGAGTGTGTGTTAGTGTGTGTGTGTATGTGAGAGTGGTGAGGGCTTGGAGCTGTGCACTTGTCTGCAGAGGCACAGCCCGCTCTGCCATCCAACTGCACACCCTTCTGGCCACTCCTCTTTCTTCCTCTTTTTCAAGATTTACTTTGTTCTTTTCTTTCAAACTACGAGAGCAAACAAGTACTCTGCAACAAGCCATACACCACGGAGGTGTACGAAGGCATGCGAGAGCCTCCCCTCCTGCTGGGGCCACCAGTTCCCTCCTCTAAGGAGCTGTCCCCTGGCCCAAAGGTCAGGAACGCTGCAACTGCCGAGGGAGCTCAGAACCATGCTCAAGAAAGTGATGGCGTGGACAGTCTCACTGAGCTGCAGCTCCCCTCTCTCCAGAGCTGTGCAAGTCCTCAGACAGGAAGCCGAGCCCTGCTCTCCCTCCATGAGGAATGGCCACACTGGGCCCCAGCAGGAGCCCATTAGGCATGTGAAGGATGGCCAGTAATGGTGAGGCAGGGAGCAGTTAACTGCGCCCCGGGACCATTCCTCCTCCTCATCAAGGAAAAGCAGGTATACAGCAGGCCTTTCCTAGGACGTGCTGTGAAGGCGGAAAGGATTCCCAGCCAAGCCTCCCGCCGGGTAAACGGTGTCTCCATCCTCCCAGGCAGCAAGCTGGAAGCCCAAGCATCTTCCGCACAGCCAGCCACTGCTTGAACATTAAACCTCTCCCAAATTCACCTTCAAATCTTCCCCGACTCCGCTGGCATCTCTATGACAGCCTTGTGGTCCAAGCCATCTCTTGCCTGGATGTCTGTAACATTTGCTTCCTATTGGCTCCCATTCCCCCCGACTGCCCTCCTATCTGTTCACCCAGCGGCCAGAGGGACCCTCTCAAATCCAATCTGATCTTGTCACCGTCCTGCTCAAATTGCTCAGGGATATTCCAGTGCTGTTGGGATTTGGCCCCAACAGCCCAGCCTGCCAGGCAAGGCTCCACTCAACCTGGGGCTGGGGAAGTGGGCATCCTTGGGCCCTCATGCTGCCATGAAGTCTGCCCAGCATCAGACTCCACCAGGCATCCAGGGGCTCTGCCTCAAGCCAGGCAAAGGCTGGATTCCTCGGACCAGAGCCGTGGGTGACACTGGGGAGAGAGCTCATAGACACCAAACCTCCAGAGAGGCAGAGAGGCTGGCTCAAGGTCACGGGGCAAATCTGGACCAACACCCATCGCTTCTGAAGATGCCTCTGCCTCTGCTTGATCCCACTTTAGAGACATGAAAACAGAGGCCCAGTCGGGTTCCCTCGGTGCACTGATGTGTGGGGTTGGGTCTCAGGTTGCAAGGGCAAAAGGGGCTTTGCTTTTGTTGTCTGTGCTCTTCTTTAATTCCCTCTCTGAGAAGCAGCAGAGTGCAGCGATTAGAGCTCACTCTTGGGTGCGACTGCCTGGGTTCAAACCCTGGCTCGGCCACTTAATGGCCACGTTTAACCTCCCTAAGCCTCAGCAGTGCCCAATTCACTGAGCTGCTGGGAGGATTCAATGAATTAAATAATGCAAGACACTCAGAACAGTTCCCAGCACTTAATAACTCAATCAATGTGAGCTGTCCTCCTTACCAGCTTGGCCTGGCTGTGCACGGCTGTTCCATTATTGACCGGCTGTCGTCTAATGTCAGCCCGTGTTTAACATCTGAACTATCCCGACCTCATCCTGAGTGATAATACCCATGAAGTCACAGTACGTATTCTTCTAACACTTTGAGACAAACCATACAATAATTAACCTATAACATGTTTGACTAAAATGATCTTGGCCTCCATTGAAGGTGCACAGACCTTAGAGACAAACGTGGTTACTGCTGACCCACCAACCATCTGTCTTCAATCCAACCTTAGCTTCTGGCTAGAAATGTGGCTCAGGTTCTTTTTATTCTCCTTCTTCCTCTCACTTCTGTTTTCTAGAAAGATCTAAAAGGGAACTCAGGAAACAAGGGTTTGGGTTCTCTGATGATATTCTGGCTCATTTATTTCACTGTCCTATTGAGGGATTGTGAGCACAGCAGACGGGGACAAACTGCCATTAAAAACATGCTTTCAGGGCTTCCCTGGTGGCGCAGTGGTTGCGAGTCCGCCTGCCGATGCAGGGGACATGGGTTCGTGTCCCGGTCCGGGAGGATCCCACGTGCCGCGGAGCGGCTGGGCCCGTGAGCCATGGCCGCTGAGCCTGCGCGTCCGGAGCCTGTGCTCCGCAACGGGAGAGGCCACAGCAGTGAGAGGCCCGCGTACCGCAAAACAAACAAAGAAAAAACACATGCTTGCGCAACATCAAAGAGCAACTATAATCCGAGGCCTTAACAGATTCAGTGGAAGCTGTAGTGACAGACCTTATATTGGACCAAAGTCATTTGTTAAATAAGCAAACCAAGACAGAACTGCCTCAATAGACCCCTGATATTTGCTACCAGGCTGATCTTCAAATACAGGGGAAGATAAACACCTCCAAATGTTTTCTTAATAACTTCTGCCCAAATGCTCTGACAGGCCCTGGAGAACTCGTGTCCTGGGTGAGCAACCACTTGCTCCCTTGGAGAACAGACTGGGAACCCTCACATAGCCCATCCATTGCCCTAGTCCATCAACATAAACCTGTGAGGTGGGTCCCCTACACAGTATGCCCCAAGGAAGGCTACAAGGTCTGTATTTTCAGCTATCTGGTTCCTATCTGCTTGCTTTTTGGTCATTCAGACTCCGTCCTGTAGGTACTGGTAATACAGTGGTGAACAAACACATGGTCTGTTCTATGGCCTCTCCAGTCAAAATGCCCATTACAATCATAACTAGGTGAGGTGTTGTCTCTAGACACCTTTTTTTCTTCCTTAACGTCTTTATTGGAGTATAACTGCTTCACAATGGTGTCTTAGTTTCTGCTCTACAGCTAAGTGAATCAGCTATATGCATACATATATCCCCATATCCCCTGCCTCTTGCATCTCCCTCCCACCCTCCCACCCTCCCTATGGTCACAAAGCACCGAGCTGATCTCCCTGTGCTATGCGGCTGCTTCCCACTAGCTATCTATTTTACATTTGGTAGTGTATATATGTCCACGCTACTCTCTCACTTCATCCCAGCTTAACTTTCCCCCTCCCCGTGTCCTCAAGTCCATTCTCTACGTCTGTGTGTCTAAGACACCTTCTTGGAATATACCAATAGATTACATATGAGAAAG